TATATATATATATATATATATATATATATATATATATATATATATATATATGTATNTATATATATATATATATATATATATATATATATATATATATATATATATATATATATATATATATATATATATATATATATATATATATATATATATATATATATATATATATATATATATATATATATATATATATATATATATATATATATATATATATATATATATATATATATATATATATATATATATATATATATATATATATATATATATATATATATATATATATATATATATATATATATATATATATATATATATATATATATATATATATATATATATATATATATATATATATATATATATATATATATAACAAACACACACACATATATACACACACACACACACACACACACACACATATATATATATATATTTGTGTATATATATTTGAAAATTGTAAAAATGTTTCTTGAATTTTGTTTTAGTTTGTTTTATTTTTGATATCTTTTTAATTATAATTATTAACGCTGGTGAACCTGATGTATAAGAGATTCTTATGGTGAATGGCCAGAACGACACTTTTATTATATTTTATCTTTTGCATGGGCAACATGTAGTATAGTATATTTTATTTTCGCGAGAAGGTAGCTGTTACGAGTGCCGGCTGGGTCAGTTGGCATTTCTGTGTGGAATTTGCATGTTCTCTACGTGTTGGCGTGGGTTTTCTCCGGGTGCTCCGGTTTCCCCCACAGTCCAAAGAAATGTGCTATAGGTGTATTGAATAAACTAAATTGGCCATAATGTATGCGTGTAAATAAATGTGTATGGCTTTTTCCTAGTACTGGGTTGCAGCTGGAAGGGCATCCACTGAGTAAAACATAAGCTGGATAAGTTGGTGGTTCATTGAGCTGTGTGACCCCTGATGAATAAAGAGACTAAGCTGAAAAAAAAAATTAATGAATGAATATATATTTATATATATATATATATATATATATATATATATTTATATATATATATATATATATATATATATATATATTTATATATATATA